TCATACACGTGATGTGTAATTATATTACATTATCTTAATGGTTGAGGATACGGGGAATACAGACAAGTTTTCCTACAATACATCACAAACCAATTCCTAAAGCTGCATCAGGTAGTGAGGCACTAAGGATACACACCCAGAAATTCCATCATGAAACTGCAGTGCCAGCCTGGATATGGGGTGTGTGCAGCTCTGCAGTGTGGTCTCTTGGTGGTGGACTTGGCTAACATACAGTAGCACTGATAAACTTAAAAAACAACAAATAGTAATGTAGCACTTTAAAGACTAACAAAACATGTAGGCTACGTCTACACTGGCATGATTTTCCGAAAATGCTTTTAACAGAAAAGTTTTCCGTTAAAAGCATTTTCAGAAAAGCATGTCTAGATTGGCAGGATGCTTTTCCGCAAAAGCACTTTTCCACAAAAAAGCCCTTTTCGCGATCGGGGCTTTTTTGCAGAAAACACTACTGTGCTGTTTACACTGGCCCTTTTGCGCAAAAGTCTTTCGGAAAAAGACTTTTGCCCAAACGGGAGCAGCACAGTATTTCTGGAAAAGCACTGACGATCTTACATGAGATCATCAGTGCTTTTCCGGAAATTCAAGCGGCCAGTGTAGACAGCTGGCAAGTTTTTCCGCAAGATGATTTTGTGGAAAAACTTGCCAGTCTAGACACAGCTGTAGATGGTATCATGAGCTTTTGTGGGCACAGCTCACTTCTTCAGATGACCGGAGTGTTGTATGGCCCGAGCCAAAATAAATAGGAGAGAAGGGAAGGGAAAGGGGAGGAGGGAGAAGGGAAAAAATAGGAGGAGGGTGCAAAAAGAGGCAGTGGGTATATAAATATCAAAGGGGAAACAAAGCTGGTATTTAACAGGCAAAGCACCTAAAATTGAATACAGGACTAAAAACTGGATAGTTAAAAGAAGAAGAAAAGGACCATTAGTTAGCAATTAGAGAGGAAGAGTACTGACACCAGAATCTACACAGACAAAGAACCATTGACACCTTCATTGTTTGGTTGGTTGGTTGATAATGTCCCAGCCATCCAGAATTAGTATTCAAACCATTGGCATGCGAATTAAACTTGTGAATGAATTGTAGTTCCAACCCTTCCCAGTGTATTTGGCTTGTGGAATTGGTCTGTAACAAAACAGCAACTTGAAGATCTCTTAATGAATGAGCAGGCAAATTAAAGTGTTCACCAACAGGTTTCTGTATGTTGCCTTTACTGATATCTGATTTGTGTCCATTGATTCTTTCCCGTAAGGACTGTCTGGTTTGTCCAATATATATTTCAGTGGGGCATTGCTGGCATAAACCACATTACTGGCTGTGCAGTTAATGATTTGGTGGCTTATGTGGTTGGCTCCAGTGATGAATTTGCTTGTACAGATATGTGGGCAGAGTTGGCAATGGGGCTGATTGCCGGGCTGGGTTCCTTGATGCTTATGATGTAGCTGTGTGGCATGGTTACTGGAAAAAAATTGTTTCAGGTTGGGGGGTTGTATGCAAGCAAGAAAGCCAATTTTGTTAAATTGGTGAACAAACTGTATGTAAATGAGATTCTGGATACATATACGCTGTGTCTAGACTGGCAAGTTTTTCCGCAAAAGCACTTGCTTTTGCGGAAAAACTTGCCAGCTGTCTACACTGGCCGCTTGAATTTCCACAAGAACATTGACTTCCTACTGTCTGAAATCAGTGCTTCCTGCGGAAATGCTATGCTGCTCCCGTTCGGGCAAAAGTCCTTTTGCGCAAAAGCTTTTGAGCAAAGGGCCAGTGTAGACAGCTCAGATTTGTTTTGCGCAAAAAAGCCCCGATTGCAAAAAGGCGATCGGGGCTTTTTTGCGGAAAAGCGCGTCTAGATTGGCCACGGATGCTTTTGCACAAAAGTGCTTTTGCAGAAAAGCGTCTGTGCCAATCTAGACGCTCTTTTCCACAAATGCTTTTCACGGAAAACTTTTCCGTGAAAAGCATTTGCGGAAAATCATGCCAGTCTAGACGTAGCCATAATGTACCGACAACCTTGATATATAAGTATCAATTTCAATTGTTACTTCAGATTTGCATTAGTGTAAATGAAATCAGAATTCAATCGGAAATGCTTTAACTTGTCCATTAGAAATTATTAGATGCATGCATTATGTCCACCTATTAGATGCATTTTATGTGGACATAATTTACCCAAAGCAGAATTTGACCAGGATACTGGGGAATACTTTTATACATTTTGATAACCAGAAGCCTTATAAAAAAAATAGAGCATTATGTTGGTCCCTAGTGCTCTGTATATTGATTAATCATAGGCCTATGATATCAGATCCCAGACTGGTGTGTACACTGCCTTTTTGGGTGCAAATTCCATGTAACATCTCTGAATGATGTTCTCTTTCTTTCCCACTGGTGTCAGTGGCGCACCACACAAGATCAGGACTCTGCCTATGTGAACCACACCACAAACCTAGAGCCACAGGGTGTTCTCTTACTCCTATAAAACTATCATTTTTAATGGGGCAGGAGCAGGACAGTGGTGTAAAATACAACTTAATTTTGATTGGAAATTATGAAAATGTCAAGTCTTCACAGAGCCTGGATTTTAGAGCCTTTAACATTTTTGCACCATCAGCCACTCAAAATCAAAACTCACAAAAAAGGTTTGTAAAAGAAGTTTTAAAAGTGTTTGAGATTATGAAAGATTTGTTTGTATATTGAAGTCTCTGGAAATTAATATAACGTTTACCAACAATATAAGACCTGCTGAAGTCTGCAGTTTTGAATGGGCAGTTTCTTGCACAGACTTGCCAAAACCTCCCTAGTTTGGAGGGAGACGGCTGCCTTCTTTTAATTAAAAGTACTTTTTTGAAGAAGCCTCTCCCTCTGGTGATAAAGTCCGTCGCTCTGTTACCGGGATATATGAAAAATCTTGCTTTTGCTATTAAATCTCGAAGCTGGTCGTTAGCTAGCTCTAAATGCTGCGCTCCTTTATTCCTATTCGTCCCATCCCTACGTGATTTGCTTTTACTTACCACTCAGATAACTGTGCTAGAGCGGCCCCCACTGCGCTCCGTGACATCATGGAGGAGGCGTGGCTGAATTTGGGGTGGGAAGGGGAGGAGCAGAGTGTAGTTTGCCCTAGTGTTGCGGCGCAGGGTGTGTGCGGAAGCAAAGAGGGAAGTCGGGCTGTAGTCGTCTTTGCCATGCCGCAGGGGGTTTCGCGGGCAGCGGCAGCTCGCGGCTGAGGGTCGCGCTGGGTGTCCAGGAGGGACAATGTATCTCCTGTTGGCGTTCCTCAGCCTGATCCCGCGGGCGGCTGGCCTGGGGGAGCTGAAAGCTTTTGTGGTCGCTCACAGCCACATGGACGTTGGCTGGGTGTACACGGTGCAGGTAGCTCCCTCCAGTTATCTGGGCTTTCGGTCCCTTGTGCTTCTGCCAGCAGTTGCCTGAGCGCCTGCAGCGATTCCAGCCACCCGGAGATAAGTTCCTTATTGGTGCTCCGTGTTTGCATGGTCTCGTGGGGGTTTCCTTCCTGCCTGTTTTATTCACTCATTCGTCCATTTTTATTGCAGCTCTTGCCCTACGTGTGTTTCCACTCCCTGGGCAAAGCAGTTTCAAACGCAGGGCAGTGACCCTAAAACAGATCAGTTTCACTTCTACTTCGTCCCCTTCCTTCCCTCCACGCATTGCTATAAACTGCAGGCCTGATCTTTTCCTTAGTGACCATTTCGGGTGATAAAATAACTCTACATTCTCTAATGTCCTGTCTGCAAAAAAAATAACTCCGTAACCGAGGTCTAGCTGAGAGATAATATTCGTTCCTTATGCCCATACACGATTGAAGAATAGTTCTGTCTTGTTATGCAGACAGATTTGTACATGAAAAGACCCTAGTGTGGGTAAATGCTTCGGATCCAGCCAGAAGATGGCACTGGTGTTGTGTTCCTCCACCAGTAGATAGCAAGCGTGGGAACTCTAGAGTAGATAAGGCGTGGGGGGGAGGGAAGGGAGAGAGGCACGTTTCCCATTTTGTCAGGTTTAAACCTATGTAGTATCTCCATTCAGTAACCTTCAGTTAAACTGGAACAACTTATGTCTGTAGACATGCCCTAAACTGAGTGATGGCACCATTTGGAAGTCATTGCACAGTGGGTAGAGCCAAGGCTCTTCTTTTTCTGTTATTATTTTGTTTAAAATTGCCCAGAAAATTAAAGATGAGTGAAAATAGGTGCAATACATTAACATTTTTAATACATATCAGAGTTGACACTGGGAACTGGGAGAACAGGAAAAAAAAGCAACAGAGAAAAGATAATTGAATGTAAAAGCAGTTTAATGCTGTAATCTATTTAACTGAATATTACCATTATGTACACGTTCACATGTATATATATGTTTTCCACTATATTGCCTTATTTTAATAGCTTCACATTAACACTTAGACTAATTATTAACATAAACACATACTTAATGTACAGGATTATCTTAACATAATCAGTATTTTCAGAAATCAAAATTGGGGTGGAAATTGGCTTAACATTTTGTAAACTTTTACAAGCTTTTGTAACACCCAGGTTTTTGGGGTTTGTATGTGGTTTTTTTTATTTGTAAAAACTGAAAATAATGGACCTTTAAATATCAAGACCTACAGAATGAAGCCTAGTATTTAAATAATGTTTACAAATGGTTGTTTGTTTTTCCAAGGTGTTTGTTTTTCCAAGGTTTGGTTGGTTTTCCATCCTGCAAGCTAGCCATGCAAGTGTAGCTTCTGAAAATCATAAAGAATCCGAGACCATGGAAGGTGGATATATTTCCCTATGTCTGTTCCTGCTCAGATTGATTCACTTAGTTTATTTAAGTTATATTTGAGTCAGGAAAGCTATGGAGCAGGCATGGTTAATTCAGAAATGTGTGTACATACCTGTTAGATTTTTTGTGTGTGTTTATTTGAGAGAACTCTCCCAATGCAATTTTTAGAAAGAAGAAAACACTTCTGCAGTATACTTGGAGCTACACTTTTATCATTCAGTAGATTTCATGTGCTGGGATTGTGGTTAAGGGTCAGCTAGCTGAGAAATTGTAATTACTGTTGTTAGAAAAGCTATCAGTGGGGTGAGAGAAATGTACTAGAAAGAGATATTTTTAAAACAAAAAGTTTTAACATGTTGATTGAGGTGGCGTTGGAGCCTTGTATTATCAAAGGAAATTAACAAAACAGTTTGAGCTAAGTAAGTGAGATACCAAGTAAAATAAATCAGACAGCTCCTTAATGGCTTTCATGTCTTTTGTTTCCAAATACTTTGTTAGTTGTATAGATCCCTTTCATTATATGGATGGTGTTTCAGGCACTTGACATACTAGATGGACAAAGGATCAGAATTTTTTGTAGGGAAGTTTTCTTCTGACAGCACCACAGGGAATCATTGCTGTTCTTTTATTTTATTACTTTAAATAGGATTATTAAATTATTCCTTTAGTATCTTGAATCATACTCAATAGCTTCATGGAAAAACACAGAAGCACTTTGTATTTTGGGTCTGTCAGTGGGTGAAGATTCCTCCAAAAGAAATGAAACTTTAATTATCAGTTTCTAAGAAGACAAAATTACTTGAGGTTTCAGCACCTCTATTATTAAATCATAAGCATCAATAATTCCTTTGGTCAAAAACGACAGAGAACATCTATAGATCCTTTCAAAGCGCTTCTCTAATAAAGTGAAACCTAAACGTTATCCCTAAACTCTCTGTAAATGGTTTCTTAAAAGTTTGTTTTTCTTTTATCACTTCTGATTGACAATATCTTTTGGATCTTTGATTATTTCCACTCAGAGCATGAAAAATAAGATAATTTATTATATGAAAAAGCAAGCTTTTTTGGGTTCTGAAAATTGTAATATTGATGCTGAATTTTAACCTTAGATGCAGACCTGGAATGCAGTTGACTTGATAGCATTTTATCCACAGTCTGCCTAATATAGCATTGTGGATTCTGTCTTGTATAGTTTATATTGAAGAAAATGGGAGTTTTCTACACACTATATTTTAGCAATACAGTTCCAAGTCTCTGTGTAATTTCAGCAGTGTACAGCAACTGTCATAAAATCTTTTACAGTAATCTTTTCAAAATTGATCCTATCTGTATAGGAATAGGTATTTTTTACTATACGATTTAAGCTTTTATAAATATATACCATAATTGTTTTTGAGATAACTAGTTTGTTTTTTTAAATTAATGTAGATGTATCTACATCCTGGGATATAATTTAAACTGAAAAAAATATTCACATATGCACTGTAATCTGTTCTGCCTTCATAAAGAAGCCCATTTGTTCCAGAATCCAGCAGAGCAACTTCTGGTACTCACAGAAATGAGCATCTCTCATCTTCAGTCTCTATAGCTGTGTCTACACTGCAGCACTATTTCGGGACACCAGAGGTAGCTATTCCGCATCTTTTGAGCGTGCCTGTTATTTTAAAATATAATAGGCTCACTGTTCCAACATCCATGTAAACTGCATTCAAAAAGGAGTAAGGGATGTTTCAAAATAGTGATTTATTTTGAAATAAGTACTGTGCAGACAGTGCAAATTTTGAAATAAGCTATTTTGAAATTGACTCGAAATTTCATAGCTTATTTCAAGCTACAGGTACAGTGTAGACGCACTTTAGGGGCCTGATCCTGAGAGATGCAATGTGTGACGGTAAATACTGTAGTCAGTGGACACGGGGCTAGAGTTTTAATCTCTGTAACCTTGATTATGTCTACTGACTGAGGTTAGAAATTAGAATCAACTTTCTTATTTTATTACACAGAGTGCTTTCTATTCCTTTCAAAGGAAATGAGAATTTTGAGCTTTTAGAATTTTGCAGCGTCAGGTTGTAGATTAGCTTCTGGTTTCATCCGGGAAGGTCTTTGTCAAATCCCAGATTATTTTGACTGATTTTTATTATTAAGACAATCTTAGACATTCTCTTAAATCCTGAAGATTCTAAACATCTCATGTAGTCTCATAGTCAACAAAGTATTTTGCAATTAAGAACTCTTGCTGCCTCAGCCTTTTTGGAATGATCATTGTTCCTCTCTTAAAATTCATTTTTTTTTTTGGAATATTAATATAGTTGGAATTTCATCTGTGTAAACTGATATTAAAACATCTATTCATAATCTTTGTAAAAAGTTGAGAAGTCTCAAAAATCACCATCTGAACATCTGATTATTTAGGCAAGTGCTAAACAAGGTTTGGGGTCACCTTTTCTATAGTCAGGCATGCTCTCTTTATTCAGTTAATTGTTGAAGTTTTACATTAGATTTCTAATTTTAGTGAAAACATAGGTTTTTATTGGTGTGTAGGCTTCTCATTTGGATTAGACCAGTGGTCCCCAACCTTTTGAGGTTGTCGGGCGCCAGGGGGCATGGCCGTTTGCCCGCCGGGCGCCAGGGGTCGGGGACACTTGCGCGCCCGGGGGCAGGGCCCCCCTGTAGCTGCATGCCCAGGGTGGGGCCCCCTCCAAGGGCCGCGCGCCTGGGGCCGGCACCCCCCCCCCAAACACCGAACGCCCAGGCCCCTCCCCCATGTGCGCCCAGCGCTCCCCCCGCCAAGCGTGCTCCCCCCGCAAGCGCCTGTGCGCCATGTGCCCGGGGCCAGGCCAGCCCCGAGCACCTGGCGGGCGCATTGAAATGCCCCCGCGGGCGCCATGGCGCCCGCGGGCACCGTGTTGGGGACCACGGGATTAGACCCTGCACTCCTTATTCTCACACAATTCTCATTCATTTCAGTGGACATTTTGCTTGAATTAGGACTGCAGATCTTGGCACCTTATAATAAATACATATTGATAGGAAGAAAGATTAAGATGTGTATGTGGGTGAAACCTTTGTAGGTTTGTGTATGTAGCGTTAAGACTTTTTCTTCTCAGACATTTTAAGTGTACATGTAGTATGTATGTTATCAAATGATGCATGCTCAAATGAGTACTAGTATCTATTTCTACATTTGTGTGGAGTCTATTTGTGCTAGCTGTAACAATGTGGTGAACAGATGACCAACACAGAGGTTCCTTGCATTTACTTCATGCAAAGTCATCTTTCCTTTTTTAATTTATTTAATTCTTACAAGTATTTGTGTGTTCTTTTTATATATAAAAGCAGCATTACTGTTAAAAAAAAACAAGTGTATCACTGCAAATGTATACATTTCTTAAAAGAAATTCACAATGTCTTGGAGTGTTTGTTTTTTAGAGTTAATGTCTATCATGTGAAAGTCACACAGATGTTGGCAGATTGGATTTGGCTGGTTGTAAATTGCCATTAGAGAAGGAGTGTACCCCAGAATATGTTCATTATGCGCACATAAATAAACAAGAAGTTGCTCAAGCCCGTGATAATTTATCTGATGAATATAGTCCACTTGTTGTTTCTGTTATTATGTCATTTGTATTCTGGAAGCACCTACAGATGTCAGTCAAAGCTTAGGGACCCCATTGTGCAAGACATTGTGCAGACACACAGTAAAAAGATGGTTCCTGCCATGAATAACTCAACAGCTAAGTAAAAGATGAAAGACAACATACGTACAGGGTGACCACTGTTATCCCCATTTGACAAATGGGGATCTGAAGCAAAGACAAAGTGATTGTCTGCCTGGGGTGCCAGTAAAGATCACTACGGAGCGTGATTTGTAGAGTACTCTAAAATGTTGCACTCTGTGGAGGCAGGAAAAGGGAATAAGGGAATTTGTGTGCAGCCATCTTGGTCTTGTTAACAAGAGAGCAAGAGTCAGGCTAAGTCTGTGGCCTGACAGCATGAGATCTGTAATTAGATGCTGCCTTTGCCTCTTGCCTCCATACAGAGATAAGGATAGAATGCTGACTCTGGCAGGGACCTTGAGATAAGGAGCATCTGGGTGGAACTAAAATAACTGTTAGCCATTGGTGTTTGTAATGGGAAGGAGCCGCCAAGCGTGCTCCCCCCGCAAGCGCCTGTGCGCCATGTGCCCGGGGCCAGGCCAGCCCCGAGCACCTGGCGGGCGCATTGAAATGCCCCCGCGGGCGCCATGGCGCCCGCGGGCACCGTGTTGGGGACCACGGGATTAGACCCTGCACTCCTTATTCTCACACAATTCTCATTCATTTCAGTGGACATTTTGCTTGAATTAGGACTGCAGATCTTGGCACCTTATAATAAATACATATTGATAGGAAGAAAGATTAAGATGTGTATGTGGGTGAAACCTTTGTAGGTTTGTGTATGTAGCGTTAAGACTTTTTCTTCTCAGACATTTTAAGTGTACATGTAGTATGTATGTTATCAAATGATGCATGCTCAAATGAGTACTAGTATCTATTTCTACATTTGTGTGGAGTCTATTTGTGCTAGCTGTAACAATGTGGTGAACAGATGACCAACACAGAGGTTCCTTGCATTTACTTCATGCAAAGTCATCTTTCCTTTTTTAATTTATTTAATTCTTACAAGTATTTGTGTGTTCTTTTTATATATAAAAGCAGCATTACTGTTAAAAAAAAACAAGTGTATCACTGCAAATGTATACATTTCTTAAAAGAAATTCACAATGTCTTGGAGTGTTTGTTTTTTAGAGTTAATGTCTATCATGTGAAAGTCACACAGATGTTGGCAGATTGGATTTGGCTGGTTGTAAATTGCCATTAGAGAAGGAGTGTACCCCAGAATATGTTCATTATGCGCACATAAATAAACAAGAAGTTGCTCAAGCCCGTGATAATTTATCTGATGAATATAGTCCACTTGTTGTTTCTGTTATTATGTCATTTGTATTCTGGAAGCACCTACAGATGTCAGTCAAAGCTTAGGGACCCCATTGTGCAAGACATTGTGCAGACACACAGTAAAAAGATGGTTCCTGCCATGAATAACTCAACAGCTAAGTAAAAGATGAAAGACAACATACGTACAGGGTGACCACTGTTATCCCCATTTGACAAATGGGGATCTGAAGCAAAGACAAAGTGATTGTCTGCCTGGGGTGCCAGTAAAGATCACTACGGAGCGTGATTTGTAGAGTACTCTAAAATGTTGCACTCTGTGGAGGCAGGAAAAGGGAATAAGGGAATTTGTGTGCAGCCATCTTGGTCTTGTTAACAAGAGAGCAAGAGTCAGGCTAAGTCTGTGGCCTGACAGCATGAGATCTGTAATTAGATGCTGCCTTTGCCTCTTGCCTCCATACAGAGATAAGGATAGAATGCTGACTCTGGCAGGGACCTTGAGATAAGGAGCATCTGGGTGGAACTAAAATAACTGTTAGCCATTGGTGTTTGTAATGGGAAGGAGCTTAGGGACCCCATTGTGCACGACATTGTGCAGACACACAGTAAAAAGATGGTTCCTGCCATGAATAACTTAACATCTAAGTAAAAGATGAAAGACAACATACGTACAGGGTGACCACTGTTATTCCCATTTGACAAATGGGGTTCTGAAGCAAAGACAGACAAAGTGATTGTCTGCCTGGGGTGCCAGCAAAGATAACTAGGGAGCGTGATTTGTAGAGTACTCTACAATGTTGCACTCTAACTGCCCTATAGAGATCCTGCTGGCACATTCTAACTCATGTTAACACTATCCTGTTTGAAATGGGACTACATGATAGCATACCTGTGGGGTCTAGAGCGCTCTAGTATGTCGCACTCTAAATAACGCTCCGATAGCCGGCTTTGCTGACACTGTGAAGATACACCCTAAGTGACATACCCAAGGTCATAAAGAAAGCTTTTGAAGGCGAAGATAATTGACTCCAGATCTTCCAAATGAGCAACACTGGACCAGCATTGTTGTCTGGGTGGCGTAGCCAAATATATTTTAAACAGACAGATTAAATTCAGTAGGTGTGAAATATGTCTTTAAAAGTGCAGTATGATACATTTTGCAATTGCCTTGCAGGAAAGCATGCATGCCTATGCAGCCAACGTTTACACCACTGTTGTAGAAGAACTAATCAAAGGAAAGCAACGCAAATTTATTGCTGTGGAGCAGGAATTCTTTCGCCTCTGGTGGGATACTGTAGCCACTGATGTGCATAAACAGCAGGTAAGTTAAGGATAGTTGCTGTTTTAACACTGGGAGTCAGTGCTCTTCTGTACTCTTACCTAGCTACATACATTTCAGAGAGCAGGGAGGGTAAGGCAGCTTAAAACTCACCATGCTACTGTCCTGAACCTGATGACACTATGTGCAACTCTGGTCACTTTCTCAGAGGACTTCTCTAATTTATACCAGCTGCTAACATCTCCAAGAGGGTGCAACTGCATCTGGGAACCAGGCTGATGTAGGAACATCTCAGCCAATATCTCTTTCCACTGCTTTGTTAGCAACATAGAGAGGAAGTAGCATAAGAATTGAGGGGTTCCTTCAGTGTGAATTCCTTAGGGCAGGATACGCCAGCTTTAGGGTTAGATTGCACTAGGAGAACTGACCTGCATTGGAAGACACTGGAATATTATATTAATCATCTGATATTTGTGAACTATAATCAAAACAGTAGTAAAGTAAAAGGACTATCTTTTTACTCAGGCATTGCACACGTATTGCTATTGCAAACAAGGCTGATGTAGTAACAAGAAAAAGCAGAGAATCCACAGCTAGTTTTTATGTTTCTGTTGGTGGTGGACATTCACACATACTTCAGAGCATATAAAAACTATTCTGCACATGGATGGAAAAAATCTGCACATGGATAGAAAAGATGAGAGGACAGTGACTCTTCTCTTGTTGATCTTTAAAGTGTAGTTCTACTCAGAAAAGGGATTCTGAAGTGCTAGCATTGTTGAGGTTCCATGTTTATCCCTCACTGAATGTTCTTTTTACCTGTAATTCTGTCCAGGTGCCCCTCATATTTCTATAATAGAAAGATCAGAGAAAAAAAGTTTGTCTTGTGCATTTGACAGTATTCTCTGTGTGGTTCGTTTGACTGTTTTAATTAGTTGGTTTTTCTTAACTACTCCGAGCTTCCTCCTGTTATTTGTGTCGGTCCTTTACACCTCAGCAGAAAAGAGATAATTGTTTGTGCTTCGGAAAATGATACTGTAAATTCACAAAAATTGGTTTGGATACTCCTCCATGTATAGTATTTGAAAATGTTTTAAATTAAAATTGATCAGACATCAAATTCATGGTGTCTCTTTAACCTACGCTGTAAGTAATATGCTTTTTGTTTCTAATATTCATGTGCAGTTCCTTCAGGGGAGCTGAAATTGTGCTTCTGTATCTTCATTTTAACAGAACCAAGCAGTAAGAAAAGCTTCTGTTTACCAGCTCTGATCTCCAGAGTGCAAATTCAGTAGAAAAATTAAATGTTGTGTCCTCACTTCCCAGAACAGCTGCTGCTTTTAAGTAGCCTTATATTCTCATTTTGTTTCCAAGTCCATTTCAATACAAGGATTGAGAATCCTCCTGGTCCAAAGCCCAGAATGTTTGCTTTAGAGCAGTGCCAAAAATGTACTGCTGGTTTAAAAATGCAATGATAGTTTTAGCATTGGTTAACTTGAAGCCATCACAGTTAGAAACAAATACATGGTTAATCTTAAGTGTCTCAGACATTACAAAATGAATTGTATACCATTGGAGAGCTATGATACTAGCTTTCCAGTAATGATGATATTTGTTTAACATGAGCAAGTTGCCTGGTATTGAAATAATGTGATTTCAAAGTCCAATTATTGGCCTGCTTTTTTCATTTAAATTGTCATTAGTGGCTACAATTACAAAATTGTTACAGCAACGGTGTTTGTATTATTTGATAACTTGAATCCCATCTTTCAAATAGTATAAAATATTAATCTAGCTCCAGCCATTTATGATATATTTGCTTGTGATTGGAATGTAATTTTATATGTGTATGTAATATCTGTGTGTGTATGTTTGTTATCTACACACAAACACATACACAATAGCAAGTTAATTAGAACTGATCCTGCAGTGTGGGAGGAGGAGCACATGGAATGATGTGTACCACAGTTCGGCTTAGAGACAGGCAGGTGTGACCCTCCTAACTCATCAAGTGCAAATTTCCACACTATACATTCACATCTGAACCTTGCCTATACTTCCAGGGTTTGGTATCTGTGCATTATAGTGTGGGGAAGAGGTAGGGGAATGGACATGGGGCCACATAGTGATGGGGTGTGGTCACAGAAGACCCCTTGGGGAAGCATCCTGGAGTGCTGGGGTGCGGTCACAGAAGACCCCTTGGGGGAGCATCCTGGAGTGCTGATAAGGCAACTGCTGCTCGTCTTCCTGTTCTATGGAGCAGAGGTTCTCAAACTTGTGATACTGCGACCCCCCCCCCCCCCCCCGTTCCCTGCGCCCCCCCCGGGGGCATCTCCCCACTCTGTCCTGCTAGGCCAGCTCCTTGGTCTCCCCCCAGCCAAGACACCCAGCTAAGATCACTGTCCCCCTCCCCCAAGAAGCAGTACAGACACTGAAACTCTTCAGGTCCAAGGAGAAAGCAGTTTTGGGCCCAGCTTCCTTGGATACCACTCCCCAAATGGAATCAGAACCCCAAAGGAATTATTTAGGTAAACCCCGTTTAACACTGAAAGGGGGAATGTACACACTGGTTGCTCTCCCAGGTAACAATTATTTACACTAGGCTTGATAGTAAAAAAAAAGTGATTTTATTAAGTACAAGCAATAGGATTTAAGTGGTAATAAGTGAGAACAAGCAGAGCAGAGTAGATTACAGACATAAAATAACAGAAAATTCTTACCTAATTCTAACACTAAAACCTCAGTACAAACTCATTACAAACTAATCCTAAAATTGTTCCTTTTCTAGCTAATCCTTCAAACCAGGGTAGCTCTTCACCCTGGGGTCTTTGAATCCCTTTCTTGGGAGTGCCCCAGCCAAAGACAAGGACCTTCTAGTGTCCAACTGTTTTAAAGATTCCCACTTTTGCATGGGATGTCACCTACCAGTTAGGGAGGTCATGTGACTTCCTAAAAGTCAAGCACAGCTAAGACTTAAGGACAAAAGGCTATTTGCATACGATTGGCCATACATTGAGGCATCCCAGCATTGGAAATACCCTTAGTGTCTTTCCTTGGCACATTTAAAACCATAAAGCATTCCATACTTCATGTCTAATTTTACATACAAGAATGATACATAAACCAAAATAAGATAAACAGATCCAGTGGATTATGATACAAAGATTGATAGGTTACATGAGACAATTTGTTCAAAGCACCTTTGAGTTAGGCATGTCGGCGTCCATTTTCTAAAGCATGGCAGAGAAGAGGGGTACATCACACATGTTCTTTTGACTGATCCTGGCCAGTACACAGCAGTACATTTGGAATGATGAAAACAGCTCTTTCCTGGGAGTATTTGGAAATAAGCAACGGGAAATAAACTGAATTGCTCAGAAGTCTATGTTGGACTTAGAGCTGGGCTCAGAATAAGTCCTCCCTTGCTGCTTTCCCACCCTCCCACCAAAAGAAAAAAAATGTTGGCAAGTACAAGAGTGGGCCAGTACAGATTTGGAGGTGCTGTGTGTCTAAGGATGGGTGTCATTTAACTTAATAATATTTTAAAACATATTTGTAACCTCTGTGTAGTTCCACAAAACTCCATGCCCAGAATTCTGGGTCAAAAGTATCTCTTTGGGGCATGCCCTCCAAAAGAGCAGTGATAGCCTCAGATGCTTTTCATGCAGATCAAGAGGCAGTTCAATGCCTAGACCAGATATCAGTTATCTGGCTTCCCAGCATACTAATCAGTTGCCACATTCAGCTGGAACTAATTTACAAATGGTCCAGCCCTAAAGCACTGTTACAGTATTGTGAATGACTATAACCAAAATTGACAGTGGCATCACAGCTGAACAGAGATTGGGGCATTTACTCAAAAGATCCTGGGGAGAGAAATGTAATAGCTGTGGAACTAGAACACTGCATGCCAGATTTTTAGTTGGTAGAGAGCAAAATATATGTTCAAACGGACAGTGCTTGATGGTACCTGGGACTTCAAAGCTAATCTAATGATTCAGAAAACTGTACTAAAATTCAGATAATAGCAGCTTTATGATTTATCTTGGGTAGAATGGAACCAGATTATCATCAGGTTTTTCCCATATTTTACACGTTTGTTAAAATTTGTACTCAAGTTGTGGTTGATTAAAGAGGCAGATGCTTCCAATTTCCAGTAGCAATAGAATCTGTAAATGTTTTTTCTTGGGCAGATTTTAGAATATACTTAAGAATTTTAAACTAGAATACAGTAGGCTTCCGATAATCTGGCACCCTTGGGACCCAGGGGGTGCCAGATTATAGGATATGCTGAAGTATCGGGAGGTACTCCGGCGGGGTGCTGTGACAGGTTTACCAGGCCCCGCACTGCGTTGGGGGCGGGAGGGCGAACCCTTCGCTGTGTTGCAGGGAGGGGTGGAAGCCCCGCGCAGCCGGCCTGCAAGCGGCAGTGAGGCAGGCAGCTATTTAAGACGGGTGGGCAGAGGTGGGGGGGTCGACGGGGAATGCTGCCTGCCTCTTGCCCCCTCTCCGCCGCTGCTGCTTACAAGTTTCACTGCTTGCAAGCCGGCTGCACGGGGCTTCCACCGCCTCCCCACAACACAGCAGAGGGTTGGCCCCTCGCCGTGCCGTTCCCTGCCGACTGCCTGCCTGCCTGCCTTAAATGGCTGTCTGCCTCTTGCCCCATCTTCACCGCTGCCTCTGGGCAGCTCCAATTGTCCGGCTGGCCGGAGCACTTCTGGATTCCAGTTGGTGCTGGACTATCAGGGTGCTGGACCACTGGATGCCGGACAATTAGAGTTTTACTGTATATAGAAAAAAGATTAAGGAACACCTTTGTTTCTAATAAGATATCCCAAACTGCTACAGATGAAATAACTCCATATGTACATCAGATCTCTTTTTTATAAAAAAGGAATTAATCACCTATGGCAACTGTATGAGATCTGTGTGATACTTTGGGAATATAAAATAATTGGACTATAGAAAGAAAGAATGGTAATTTGTACACAAAACAAAAGAGAACATTGATTAAGATTCAGCAGTGTTGCATTATTGTTATTATCGACAAAGCTGATATCTAACACTTCAACCAAAGCAGCAAAAAGTTGGAAAGTGAGCAAAAACTTAGATTCCTAGAAATGTAGAGTTGGAAAGGGTCTTGAGAGGTCATTTAGTTCAGCCCACATTGTTGAGGTAGGATCAAGCACACAAAGATTAGACTTGGCAGGTATTTGTGTGATCCCTGTGATTGATTTTTTTTAAAACTACCAGTTAGACCAGGGGTTCCCAACCTTTTTCGGTCCCCATACTCCCTTGGCTTTTAGTAAACTCTCCCGTACCCCCTATTCAATATGAAAGGATATAAATTCTAGACTCTAGAATCCAAAACTTTTTTCACTAACACTACTACTTTTGAAATATTTCAGTTAGGATAACCTAGTTCTTTACCAAATATTCCCCCTACCTCCTTGACAAGTTTCTTGTACCCCCTGGGGGTACGCGTACCCCACCCTGCAATAGACATTCTGTTGTGGAGTTTTGTTCCGCTAGCAACCCTTATTGTTCAAAAAAAATTTCCTAAATCTTCCTTGTTGACATGACAGTCTTTCCCATACTGAACTGCCTCAGCACCCACCCCTGACTCCTCCCTAGTTGGTTCTTCTTTCTGGGGTTTTTAAAGCATCTCTGCCCTGCCCTTTCCCTTTTGTGTGAGGAAAAGTCCATTAAGTCAAGTATAGACAGGGCAATTGCTTTCCAGGGTCTGTTGTAGGGATGTTACATTTAGTTTAATCAACTAGTCGACGGATTTTCAATTGAAAATCGATAAGCTGAGGAACCACAGCAGGGTTAGCAGCAGGTTTAAAACATGAATTTAAAAGGCCAGTGCACAGCAGCGGGGACCCTGTGTGAGCGGGGAATCACCTGTCCCAGCTCAGGCTGGGTCCCTCCTGCTCAGCGTTAGCCTTTTAAGTGTGTTAAGAGCCAACAGGCTCTTAACACACTTAAAAGGCTGGTGCACAATGGGGGGAACCTGGCATGAGCCGGTAATCAGCTGTCCCACTCACGCTGAGACCTCCTGCTGTGCTTTAGCCTTTTAAATGTATTAAGAGCTATTTCTGGCTCATGCTTAGTCCCTCCTGCCCCTCTGCCTCTCCTGTGCCCCGCAGAGACGGTACTAGGGAGAAATGGATTTTAAGCTAGCTCCTCCCAGCACTGGCTCCTGTTCTTCCCTTCCACTCCCCACCCCACTCCTTTGCTGCCTCTGATAAGTTTTTGCTTATCGGATAGTCTACTAGTCACTTGCATCCCTAATCTGTTGCATGTTAAATGTTCCTAAAATTGGTCATTCAATTTCACTCTTGACTTGTCCTTGCCTTCAGGTGCTGGCTACATATCTTCTGTCCATTACCAGAAAAATAAACATATATCATAAAGCTGGACAATGAGACATTTGTTTTCTTTGCTTTACTGCTCCAGTGTGGAGCCACAGCAGTGTTTCATGGTAAATCCACCCTTGATTGATCGCTGACCTTTTTATAACACCCCTTAATGTATTTGAAGACTATTATCAGGTCCCCTCTATCATCTTTTCTGAAGACTAAACGTGCCCAGGGTTTTTAAACCTTTCCTAGTAAGTCAGGTTTTCTAAGCCTTTTGTCACTTTGGTTGCTCTCCTCTAGTCTCTCCCCAGTTTGTCCACATCTTTCCTAAAGTGCGGTGCTCAAAATTAGACACAGTACTCCAACTAAGGACTCCCTAGTGCTGAGGCTCACATGTCTTACATACAACACTCTTGTTAGTACACCCCAGAATTATATTAGCTTTTTTCACAGTTGCATCACACTGTTTACTCTCATGCAAATTGTGAATCCACTCTAACCCCTACATACTTATTAACAGGAGGACTATCACCTAGCCAGTTATTCCCTATTTTGTAGTTGCACATTTGATTTGTCCTTCTCTTTATTGAATTTCATCCTGTTGATTTCAGACCAGTTCTTCAATTTGTCAAATTCATTGTGAAATATCGTCCTGTCTTCCAATGTGCTTGGAATTCCTCCAATCTTTGAAAAACGTAAAAAACAACAAATAATCTTGCAGCACTTTAGAGACTAACAAAAAATGTAGATGGTATCATTAGCTTTTGTAGGCACAACCCACTTCACTTCATCTGAAGTGGGTTGTGCCCACGAAAGCTAATGATACCATCTACATTTTTGTTAGTCTCTAAGATGCTGCAAGACTATTTGTTGTTTTTTACGTTTTTCCAGTTACAGACTAGCACAGCTACCCACTAAAACTTCCAATCTTTGAGACAGCCACACATTTTATAAGCATATATGCCACTCCATTATCCATATCATTAATGGAAATATTGACTAGTACCAGACCCACGACAGACCCTTGTCGGACCCTACTAGAGGAGATACACAAGAACTAGCAATGAAATTAATAAGCAGCAGGTTTAAAACAAACAAAAGGAAGTACTTCATACAACACACAGGCTTTGGAATTCAGTACTAGGGGATGTTATGAAGGTCAGAGATATAACTGGATTCCAAAAAGGTAGTCCCATTAATGGCTATAATCAGAGATGGATCAAAACAATTTTAATTCTCCGTCTATATCCCCACCATCCTCTATTCTCTGCTTGCAAGAGATTTGACATATGTCACATTTGGATAACATGAGAAGTCTTGGACTGTATTTATAACAGTGATAAAGATTGAAATTTGTAATTTTATAATCTGCCTTCTGTATATTCTATATTGTAGGTACATCAGTTACTTCAAGAAGGGCGACTAGAATTCATAATTGGAGGTCAAGTGATGCATGATGAAGCTGTGACACAAATTGATGACCAAATTTTACAGTTAACAGGCATGTTTCTTTGATGTTAACTCTTAGTTTTCATGATTATATTTTTTTTCTAAATTAATTTTATTTCCTAGGTCTTTAAGAGCTGGCTCATGGTTCTGTAAAAATTAATATTTACTTTATGGTAAACTTACTATAAGGTTCTTTGCTTAAAAAGTACAACCTCCACTCTCTCAAAAAACTCCAACATACTGGAAGATCATTGTAAATTGGCTTGCAATTTTGTTGATCTCTATTATATACTGTTAGAACATGGGCCATTTTACTGATTACAAAATCCTTGGTTCCCAAGAACAGACTTCAGATGAAGATATACATTTGAAATTTATTAAACAAATACATACAAAATAAGTGGACTTCTTTGCCATAATCTGGATCTCCATCATGACAGAGACAGGAGAATTGCATCTATACTTCCTGCATCTTTATGACTGAACTAGAGCACATATTTCAGAAAGATCACTTTTGTCCAGCTTGTCCTTGACTGTCTTCCCATGAATGTAAGTTGACGCAGCCCCACTCCATTTACTTGCAAGAACATTCAGATAGATATCTGAGCTTAAATGAAGGACTTTGTGTGACTAAGAATCCACTATTTCCAACTATTAATTAACTTCACTCTTAACAACTTCCCTCATATTTTCGTTTCAAGTGTTCTAGCTTCCAATTCCTGACATTGGATCTTTTTATGCCCTCTCCTGCTAGGCTAAAAAGTCCCTCTAGTATTTAGAATTGACTGTTATTGGTAATGTTCCGGAAGGAAAGACATCCTTTCCCCCATTGCACTGCAAATACCCAAAATAACTCATGGGACGCATCCAGGTTTTTCAGTGGGGACCGGGCAAGAGACTTGAGATGGAATTATTCCAGCTAACAATGGTGACTAATTGGCATCCCTGCTCACTTCAGAGCAGTGTGCTGTGGGACTTTTCTCTGTGGCAGCATACATTTTTGGTGAGGGCCAACGGAGCAGCTTTTTTATGCCTGATGGGTCTGACTGCACAGAACCACTGGCCAGAACCCATTGCATCAATATTTACAAGAAACACAAAGAACAGCAGTTGCTATTGCATTCCATTGAGGTCACTATGCTCTAGGAGAAAATGAAGGAATGAAAACAAAGATTCCTTTTCCTTGGACTTCTGTGGAGATCCTTTGGACAAAGTTAGTTAACTTGGGTTTGGGGCACAGACTAGTATTTGTCCCAAAATAAACACTAAGTTTGACCAAAAGGCGCCTCCTGCCAGATATTCAGTTAACACTTCTTTTGGGGTGGGATTTAATAAGTGTTTCTAAAATCCATATTTTATTCAGTGCATGGGTATATGCATATAACTTTTTAAATGGGAAGTGCAGGTTTTGTAGCTATTTTCACAGGAGCAAATGAAATGAGTATGTTTTGGTTCCTAAAAAAGATTAGCATCACATGTCACTGTTCCCCCAGCTCCTCCATATTGCCTGATCAGTCCTTGCCCATGTGACTAAACCTGAACCACACAAGCATTTCTGTGTTATCTGCTAAGTTTGTCTTGGAATTTAGGAGCTGATTTTCAAGTGCTCTCCTGTCTACATAGTTAATTGGATCACAACCACCTCATTCACACTATACCAGTATTCTCTTAGCTAATGTGTTAAAGAGAAAAATCTAAGAGACTACCTTCTGAAATGTATAGGGTTGCCAAGTGTCTAGTTTTGAACCGGGCAGTCCGGTATTTGGGCTTTCTGTCCAGGAAACAAATTTTCTATTTAAGTTTTATTATTATCAGGAGCAGGGTTCGACCAATAATGGCCGGAGATTTTAGCCCGACGCGGCTGCAGCATGCGGTTCCACGCGGCTGGCGAGCGGGGCTCGCCACGGCTCAGCGAACCCTGGCTGTAGCTATTCCTCAGTGTGCTGATACAGCTTTAAATACAGTTTGCATCGTGTCCACCAGTCAGGCAGTATGCAACTACACAGTAGAGAGGAGGGGGATGGAATCCCCGGGGCTGGACTTGCCTGTGCACAGGACAGGCAGCACCCCGGGATCTGCGTGCGCCTGGGCCAGACCCCCTGGCCGGTTCCCCCTCCCTGCTGGTTGGTTCCTCCCTCCCAGCGAGCCCTGCTCCCCGCCTGCTGTTCCCCCTCCCCCCCCAGATCTCTCCTGGACAGCCCCATTCCCCTGGACAGCCCCGCTCCCCCCATCTCCCTCTGGGCCAGCTCCGCTCCCCGCGAGCTGTCCTGGCCAGCCCCGCTCCCCCGACCTCCTCCCGGCCAGCCCCTCCCACCCCCCCATCTGAGATCAAGTGTGTCCGGTATTTTTTTTAAACCGTCTGGTAACCCTAGAAATGTGTTTCAGTCCAAGAATGAAACTGAAAGCCTTTACTAACACTGCTTACATGGCAAGAATCATAAGGCTTAGGAAAGATGAAATAAAAACAAAATATGTCCCTATGTTTCATAATTAAATTAGCAGTGATCTGAAAGCCCAGAATAAGATCTCTCCGCAGTGAAACAGAAAATGATTATATTGTCAAATATTCTAAAAGCATTTCCAAAATTAGAAACTATAAAATGACAATCTTGCATTTCTGTAACACTGTTCTGTTGTTTTTACACTAACTTCTTGGCTATTTTGCTACTCTGCTTAAAGCAGGGATGGGGAACCTATGGCCAGTGGGCCAGATGCAGCTGCTCCTGGCTTACTTTGATCTGGCCAGTGGAGTGAGGCTGGGGCTTCCCACCTCAGCAGGGCAAACTGACATGAGCCCTGCAGTGAACCTCTGAGTCTCAGCACGTCCCCGGGGGCTGGAGCACAAGCGCTGGCTCCCCACTGCAGGGTGAAGCAGAGCCAGATTATGAAGGGGACAATTTAGCTTTTATGTTTTAATAAGTGGAAAGATGAGTACTAAACCTAAAACTAATAGAAATGACTCTGGGTATTTTATATTCATTTAATTTCAGTGGACATAATTTGGGTATTTTTGTTTGTATTGGGGACTAGAGAGAGACATCAATGTGTGGCTCCAAACCCAGATGTGTTTTTTTTTTTCTTCGTGATCTCTGGCTGAAATTTCATGAGAACAGTTTGCATAATTTCAGCAGAGTCTAATACAAACTCAGCTTACCATATTGATTTGGATGTGGACCTGAAATTTAGCCTGAACTTAATCTGGTTCCTATCACTATCTTCTGGGCCTGTATCTAATCATCATCTCTTTTCATTAACTTTTAATGAAGTTGTACTTGGTATAGAAAAACAAATACCACCAGTGTGCACCTTCCTGCTATGAACTTTTTGGCTTTGTTAAATTTCTCAAAACTTCAGGTGTATTTGAATTTTTTTTAAAAAAAATCTTCATTGGTCTTGGTTAAAGTGCCACATGCCAATTCAACTTGTAAAATGAACAGATGTGTTATGAATAAAAAAACAAATTCTACTTTGCAGAGGGCCATGGATTTTTGTATGAAACCTTTGGGATAAGGCCTCAGTTTTCTTGGCATGTCGATCCCTTTGGAGCTTCAGCTACAACACCTACTCTTTTTGCTCTTGCTGGATTCAATGCCCACCTTATCTCTCGTATTGACTATGATGAGAAGGATACCATGCAGAAAACCAAGGTAACCAATATTTGGCATGCAAGCTCCCTTTTGCAACTTTATGTGAACTCTGACTTTAAGTGAAGCCTGTCTCTGATCTTAGCAAGAAAAAAAGTGTAGATTATTCTCATGTAAAGAAAAGGGACTGTTTGTGACAATATTTGTGAGCCTGTGCTCTGTTAATAACTTTGTCATGATCTCTTGACAAAGGAATTTATTCTAATCTTAAAAACACACACAATAAATAGTGGGTAGTAGAGAAGTCATAAGAGCGGTAACCTTGAGATTGCAACATAACGCTGTTAATTTAAATGGCAATTCAGGCTTCAAGTGAGTCTTTCTTTTGCTCCTTTTTCTTTTTTAAACTCTCATTAAGTGCTTACTGATACCAAGAATATTTAGTTAAATTTATTAATGCTTGTAAAACTGTTGGATAGTTATTATGAACAAAAGTTGTGATAAAATATGTATGGGAACTTTGTAGATCACTCACAAAACTAAGCCCTTCTGATCCGGTTCTGATATTGATCAAAAGCTCCCAGATATACCAAATTTGTTTTTTATTATGTTGGGCCATAGTCCACCCTCAGCTACACAAGATGATGCCCCTGAAGTAAGGGCTTGCACACATGTACTGAAGGAAGAATCTTGCCAGATTACATGAAGGCTGGGTGAAATTCTGGCTTCAATGTCAAAACTCCCAGGCTACGTCTAGACTGGCCACATAAGACGGAATAGGCATGCAAAGCAGGCAAGTCAGAATAGGGAAATCCGCGGGGGATTTAAATATCCCCCGCGGGATTTAAATAAACATGGCCGCCGCTTTTTTTCCGGCTTGGGGAAAAGCCGGAAAAGAGCGTCTAGACTGGCGCGATCCTCCGGAATAAAGCCCTTTTCCGGAGGATCTCTTATTCCTACTTGCAAGAGATCCTCCGGAAAAGGGCTTTATTCCAGAGGATCGCGCCAGTCTAGATGCTCTTTTCCGGCTTTTCCCCAAGCTGGGAAAAAAGCGGCGGCCATGTTTATTTAAATCCCGCAGGGGATATTTAAATCCCCCGCGGATTTCCCTATTCTGACTTGCATGCTTTGCATGCCTATTCCGTCTTATGTGGCCAGTCTAGACGTAGCCCCATTGACTTCACTAGACCAGGATTTTATCTCTTGGGCCTCTTCAATGGAAAACTCTCATTGATTATAGCAGGGCTGGCACGCCAGCCCAAATCTATTACATGTGCACAACTTCCATCGAAGCCAGTGGGAGTCGTGTTCATATAAAGGAGTGCAAAATGGAGTCCTAAAATGTCAGTCGTTATAGTGCTCTATGTATCTGCAGGTTTGGTGTCTTATGGTGATTTCTTTTTCTGTAGTATTTCTTTTTGTCTTTTCTAGAAACTTCAGTTTGTATGGAGGGGCTCTCCCTCCTTATCTGAAAATGATGAGATCTTCACTCATGTTATGGATCAGTACAGCTACTGCACCCCACCGCAAATATCCTTTTCAAACAGGTTTGAATGCTGCAGACTCTGCAGAAATACTGGTACTTCAGACCTGTATTAGCGTAACTACATCGCTCAGGGGGTTTGAAAAATCCTACCTTCCTAACCCCTCATGCAAATAGCGCTTTGTCAAAAGGAGCCTCTCCTGTTGACATAGCTACATACATATCAGAGAGGTTGATAACACTGATGGGAGGACCTCTCCCCATGAGTGTAAGAACATCTTCACCTAAGTGCTGCAGTGGCACAGCTGCCACACTGAACATGAGGACAAGTCCTTAGGATTTTAGGCAAATGACTGGCTGGCTTCTGAGGTTATACTGTTTAGATAACTTTGCATTTTCTCTTTTTTGCAGAGACTTGTATTAGGCTTAAAAGGTGGCTGGACTCTTAAGGCTCAATTCTGCAAGTTGCTAAGTACCCTCAACCACCACTGGCTTCAATAGGAGGTGAAGGTGCTTAGCATTTCACAGGATTGAATCTTTATTCTTCATTCTTGACCTTAGAAGTGACTGTTAGGTTTTTAATGGAAGGCGCTCACATTGATGGTGACAGAACATGAAACCCTGTGATAGGTTGTAAACTACATGGATCAAGAAATGAACCCCTTCTCGATAAATATGGCTTACAATCTGCCATATGGACCATGCTATGGAAGTATTTAAGAACTCTTACATTAAAACAAAACCTTAGTTTTAATCCTACAATCTCTTTCATGCTCTGTTTTAGCCAGCAAATGACATTTTTCTAAGGAAAAGCAGGGTCAGGACAAGAAGACTTCCAGGCTCTTGTAGCTCGGCCAAATACATCTATTATCGGACATATATATCTCCTCCTACAGCTTAAATTTTCAGGGATTTTATACTAGTCATCACTAGTTGGGCCCATAAAATCACATGGGTGTAATAGAAACTAAACACTGAGGACCAGTGTAAGCTGCAACTGTCCTACTGAATTCTCGTGCCAAATTGGATTTACATCCAGGCATGACTTTATCATTTTTTCCCCAGCTTGTAGTGGAAGTCCTGTTTGTAGTGTATTGCTTTCTTTTTCCAATTAGGTCTGGGTTCTATTGGAATGGAATTGCAGTTTTCCCAGATCCGCCAAAAGATGGTGTTTATCCAGATATGAGTGTCCCTGTTACAGATGCCAACATTCACCTTTATGCAGAGACCATGGTGGCAAACATTAAAAAGAGGGCAGCATGGTTCCAAACTGCTGATGTCCTCTGGCCATGGGTAAGGGTATCGCTTTAGAAGTTAAAGACAAACTGTGCTAGTAAATGATATTCTTTCATGATCAGGATAGCTCTAGGAAGGTTCTTCAGAGAAGAGCAGGATTGAAAGGTGGGGATGTGTATTTGTCATCGGCTACTTTGGGGCACTTTCCAAACCTAAAATGACTTTGCAGCATAAAAAATCCTGAAACCTCAGGGTATGTCTACACTACCCCGCTAGTTCGAACTAGCGGGGTAGTGTAGACATACCCTGAGGTTTCAGGATTTTTTATGCTGCAAAGTCATTTTAGGTTTGGAAAGTGCCCCAAAGTAGCCGATGACAAATACACATCCCCACCTTTCAATCCTGCTCTTCTCTGAAGAACCTTCCTAGAGCTATCCTGATCATGAAAGAATATCATTTACTAGCACAGTTTGTCTTTAACTTCTAAAGCGATACCCTTACCCATGGCCAGAGGACATCAGCAGTTTGGAACCATGCTGCCCTCTTTTTAATGTTTGCCACCATGGTCTCTGCATAAAGGTGAATGTTGGCATCTGTAACAGGGACACTCATATCTGGATAAACACCATCTTTTGGCGGATCGGGCGAATTCATGATTCTGTGCAAACTGAAGCAGCTTAGATTGATTTGTAGCGGTATCTACACTATGCTATGTTAGTGGGGGATGCTCTCCCATTGACTTGTTGCGTCATCACCAGACCTTCTAAATGTACACCACTGTATTACTAGCAGCAGCTCTGATTTATTCCGTAGTGAAGACAAACCCAGAGAACTTACAGAAAACTATCTTTACCAGATATCAGATAGACACACTGGGCAAATCCCCTACCAAGGAAATGCATGTTCTTGTGAGTTATGCAGTGTAAACTAACTTCATTCCTGTCAGTCATGCCAGATGGTCAGTGGTGCTGTAGCTGTGAGGGTCCCAGAATATTAGAGAGACAAGATGGGTGAAGTAATAACTTTTAATTGACCAGTGGGTTGTCAGTTATCCTATTTGAATCACCCAACCCATTCTTGCTACTTGGGCCCTGAATTTCTGACTGGTTTATGTAGATAAGCTCAGAAGGAAGAACAATGTTGTACAGTGGATAAGAATTGTAATATAAAAACATTGTTAAACCATCTCGTCATGGAAATTAATAACCTGTGGGTCACTAGCTAGGATCCTCTGGGGAAGTGGTTGTTAGTAGACTGGAATATACAGAGACATCAGACTAGATGATCTGATGGTCTCTTCAAACCTTAATCTCTTGGACTCTGATTATCACTTATTAATCACATAGGTGTGTTATTTTCTGAATTGCAGGGCTGTGACAAACAGTTCTTTAATGCATCGGTTCAGTACTCCAACATGGACCCATTATTAAATTATATTAATAAGCATGCTGATCAATTCGGAGTGACGGTCCAGTATTCCACTGTCAGTGATTACTTCCAGGCAGTGTACAACAGAAACCTCACATGGGACATTCGGAATGATCGAGACTTTCTTCCATATTCAACAGGTAATAATAATATGTTGTTATACACTGTGTATACTGCTGAATAACAGTAGCTTGCAATAGGATTAATTTATCATAACAGAGTGTGACAGGAGCCTTAGGAGCTTTTTCCCCTAAGTCACACGCTCAGATTTGGTGGGGTCTCTCAGCCCCAGTTCTCAAATATAATAGGTGTTGGAATGTCTTGTGAAGCAGCAAGAAGGAGGGATGGAGTCCAAGGAATCCTGAAAGGAAAACTATGGCTTGGGAGCATAGTTCCTGTTAAAGTGCATGCCTGCACGACCACGCACAAAAAATTCTTCCCCCACTGACCTCCTGTGTAGAGCCATACAGCAGCACTTTCGCAGCCGGTGGCTGCACTGGTGAGTGAGGCTGGCTGAGACGGTGTGGTGAAGGAGCCACTGGGGCAGGGGATGGTACCTACCGCAGCTGCATGGCAGGAGTGGGGAGGCCTGCTCCAGTGACCGGGACTGCCACGTGGCAAGAGAGTCTGGGGCTAGGACTGAGAATGGGGCCTACCACATGGCCCAGGGGTCGCTGGGTCTGGTCCAGCGGCTGGGAACGGAATATACTACATGGCAGGGGAGGAGGGTTTCTTCTCTGGTGGCTGGGGCTGCCAGCAGGAGGGGCCAGGGCCTGGGAATGGGACCTGCCACATGGCGGGGTGTATGTGTCTGCTTCGGCGGCTGGGAAC